CCCCAAGAACACAGGCTAGGAATTTTAATGCTGAATTTAAGAACTCTGCAGTAGTTCACAAAATATGTTTTAAAAAGGATTTTTTTTTAATTCCTGACAAATCTAGCCCAAGAATTTATGTCCCAGTAAATGTCTATTTTAATCTATGCTTCAATAAATTGTGGTTCAGGACAGGATATGAAGCTAGTGACATTGCAAGATTTAATAAGTCTTTGAAAGCTGTAAATGACTATAATCCCAAAGGTCTTTGTTTATACATACATTTAGGCCAAATGGTGAACCACTACACTTGGTGATGCCCCTGGTCTCCCTGGCAGTTTATTTTCCATATTAACTTCATCTTTCATCATGTGTTATTTCCCTGAAGTCCAAATGTCAGTTAGAAGAAGGTGTTCATGAAAACTTTCCTGGCTTTCTGAATACAGGAGGGAATTAGTTTGTGTTAGAAAAAAAAATATGTGGTAGGATAAAGAGAACTAAACACCAATATTGACAGTCCAAGAATGGAACCCTATTAAGGACCTATGTGCGTAGAATACACAAATCATACAATGATTGACCTACAGTACATTTTTGAGATAAAATAACTAGAAATTAACATTGTTGAAATAGGCAATTGTGGAATAAAAATCAAAGAAAAAGAAAATAAGAGAATAAATATTCTTTTCTCTATAAACTTGGCAGAGAAACAAAAAGAAAAACAATATGAGAAAAAATAAGGGGCAGGAAGCCCAAAGAGAACCCCATAGCATTTATTCTGAGAACCACTCAGTTCTTTCTCCTAATACTGAACATTCGCAGGGCATTTGGAATCAGCCTCATCTGTAGGCACTGAAGTTCATTTAATCTCCCTATATAGCAATCTATCGTTAGTTTGCTTATGTGTTTGAAACACCAGGTAATCAAATTTTATCATATCAAATATAGGTTAGGTCAAACTACTTACCAAAATAATAACCAAAATTTGAGAAGTGTGGGTTTTTAAAGTTTATTACATTACTTAGTACACATAATAATGCATTTTTTGCATAAATCTTTACTATGTAGATAAGAATACAGATTATTGAGGTTAAACAACTCTCAAATAGTCAGTTGGTAACACACAGAAGAAAATGAGTATTTCTAAGCTAAGTGTTTGTCTCTGGGTTTTAAAGGTGAGTAATTCTGAGGCTTTTCTAGCATTTCAGCAAAGAAAATATGCTGAAGAACCTACACTTACTGGCTGCTCACTTCCACATCATGGCCACTGTTGACCAAACTTTATTCAAGTTGATTGTATCAATTCACAGATGGAGATGATGGTCATTTCTCTATGTGCTTCCTGCACAGTAAACATTACCACACCCTTAGACAGTTTCTCGGATGTTGGAAATTAACATCTTCAATCATTGATTGTTATAAATTGATCTTATAAATTGATCTTATAAACATACTAAGTTCACATTAAAAAGAAAGTTGTTCAACTTGAATAAGAATAGTAAAAGCTTTACACAATGAAGTTGTTACAGAATGCTAATCTTGGTTTCCTGGGTCAATAAAAGGAAACTTATTTTGAAAAGAAAGAAAGCAGTTTAATTTGTCAACAAATTGAGTAGGGTAGCAGAGCCATGTCTGAAAGACTACTGCCCTGCTCTTAGGCAGAATTCTGGCAGGGGTATTTATCCAGAGTTACACAGGCATAGAAGTGAGGAAGTGGGCAAAGTTTAGCATGTCCATCCTTGTGAGGCGGCCATCTGGGGATTTGGAGTAGATTAAGGTTGGTGCCAGTTTTCTTTGTTATCACCTGGTAGTTAGCAATTTCAATACTATCTTCTTCAAAGTCTGACAGCCTGGGTAGAACTTCTTACTTGCTCATCTGTTTAACTTCTCTGGTGAAGACACATCAATTTTCTAGGATCCTTGATTCAGCTTAAAAGAAGAGCATCTGAACCAAATTTGAATATGTAGTTCACACCGAGAATTGAACACAGAGCATTTACGTGGATTAATCAAGATCATAGTTTACTGCCATTAATAACTTATTTGGTCCTGGCCACCAGATTATACTCTGGTATATCATCTCCATTCAGACCAGCCAGATGCTAGCATGTGACAGTGCATCACAGTCACGGTGGCTTTAATAAATGAACTGGATTGAAATGTGGAAGCATAAAGACTAAGGAAAATCAGCCATTTCCATGTGATATTGTCATGGATATTGAGAATGGAGAGTCAAGGAAAACAGTTGCTATTACATTATTCCCAGATAGGGGCCCAATTCAGGTTCATAGACGCTTTATAGTAAGTGCATCTGAACATAATGTACAAGATGACTATTCTGTGCACTTTCAGATGAAACAGGTTGTGTAAGAGGTATTCAGTAAAATCAAAGTGATCTGCACAAGTTGAGGATTTAGATACCAAGAATGGGCTATTTGAAATAAAGACTGTTTTGAAATTCTAGGATATGCTAAGCCATAATCATAGCCCCCTCTCGGGTGTTGCAGAGATTACTAGGACAGCCTCGCAGCATGTAAATCACCAGTAAATAATTTCCATGTAGTGGATTTAGGGCAGGTAAAAAAGGATGGAATATAACAGCAATGTACTATGCCACTCATGCATCATTTTGATCTCAAGCTTTCCCTTGGAGTGAACAAGATTTCATCACCTCCTGATAGGTACAGGGAGATACATGATAAATAATTGGACATTAAGACAGCACCAAATAACTCATGACTACGAATGACATTAACAGAATGTTCTAGCTATGTGAGGAAAGTAGAACAGTCAAAAAAGGTGAGAAACTGCTATGTTGAATTCTTGTTAGTAATATTTTATTTTTTCAAGAAATTTGCATATGTTTATGCTGTCAGTCCAATTAAAGGGAAAGTTATTTTTTGACCTCATAAACAATGATATATAAATTTTATGGCAAATAGATAGAAGCTCATTTTTCAATACATTCTCCTTCAACATGTGGACTCATGAAAGTTTAGTGAAGGAATTCAAAAGACAACTTTAAATCCAGTGAATTTTTTAATAAGGAACTGCTGATTGAATTACTTGTCCAATCCCTCTTTGCTATAATAATTCTTAATTTTACCTCCCTCACGATATTGTCTGCTCCTTAACCTTCTTTATAGAATGTCTCAAGAAGAATTATAACTCTTGCATTGCATTTTCATATTCTAAACACTTTTAAGCATTTTTAATTATCATCTGTTTTGTAAAATCACAATATTGACTCCACTCTCTAGTATCATGTTGATGTCTTCTGTGCAACTTAAGAGATCTTAACAAATATAGAAAATGTGTGAACCTACAACTCCAAGTCATATACAGTTTTTTAAACCAATATTATCTCAAAAAAGAAAATAATAATAAGATATGACTTATCAAATATGTACAAAAGATCTTTCAGAAGTGTATTCTGGTTTCCCAGAAAAATCTTTCTCAGCAGTATCATCTTGAATATAATTACAATATAATGTGCTTCATGTGTTGGGCCACAGTACAGTTTTTATTAATAAATGTTATTTTCTAAAGCTGTTTCAGGCTAACAACAAGGTAATATAGAGACTAAAAGAGCTCCCACAGACCCAGTGTTCTCATTCTGGGACAACCTACCCTCCAGAGTGGTATATTTCTTGCAATACATTTGAAGAGGTACCAGCCAATGCCCTTAAATCATATACAATATTTTAAACCAACATTACCTCAATAAAATGAGACAATAAAAAGATTTTAAAATGATTAACTTACACTGACACATAGTTTTCACCAAAAAATCATTATTTACATTAGATTTCACTTTTGGTATTATATGGATTTCAAAATGTTTAATGACAATACCCCAAATTGTGGAAATGTAGAGAACAGGTTCACAGCACTGAAAATCCTCTGAAAATGCTCTGAAAATCCTCATTATCTCTCTCCCCACTCTCAACCCTTGTAATTCATTAATTCTATACTGTGCTTTCATAGTTTTGTCTTTCCCAAAATACCAGATAGTTGAAATTACATATTAGGTTCAGATTGGTTTCATTCACTTTGCAATATGCTTTGAGGTTTCGTGCATGTTTTTTCTTGGATTTACAGCTCATTCTTTTAGCACTGAATTTGACTATACCACAATAGTCTGCTGAAGGGCAGCTTGGTTGCTTCCAAGCTTTGGTAATTATTCATAAAACTACTATCAATATCTCATGCAGCCAGAATTCATTTTTTTTATTTGTTACTTTATATTCAAGCAACACCTTGTTTTTTAATAGTTTTCTTTCCTCATTAAAGCATGGAAGGTCTTAAGTTCTGGATTCAATGGGTCTCAATTTACTTATCAACTTTAGAAAGCCAGGGATGGAAGAACATAATTTAGTTTGCATTTCCTTAAGTTTTATGAGTATGCTACTAATTCTGGTCAAGTGGGATACAAGTTAAGTTTGTTTTCTTCATTCTGTAAAATAGATTATTCCTCTGCCTTCAATAGGAAATACTCTGTTATTATTATTATTATTATTATTATTAGATCATTATCATTATTATTCAATGGGAGGTAAAGGTAGTTGACCAAGAACAAATTTAAAACTTATTCTACTTCAAATATCTCTTTGTTATGTACCTTTTTTCTATAGAAATGGGAGATGCATTTGTGAATGTTCTATCAGAAACTTAAGTTTATTATTTAACTTTAAATTTCAGCTCTTTCATAGCTACAGACTCTGTGTTACTATGTGACCTGCACTGAAGTCTCTATTTTTAATTAATGTTATCCTTTAGAGATCACTGATTAATACATCTTTATTTATTTTGATCCAGTAAATTTTCATGCAGGTAACCCTAGCGAGCCACACATCATCTTAATATTCCACAAAATTAATAGAGCAACCTAATTTCCAGTTACTTTCATTTTGTAAGAATTAAATATGAATTAGCATATGGCTAGTTATTACTTTAAACTTGTAGTCTTATTTCTTTCATTTTATCCTATATAATCAAACTGATTATCCAGTAAACTCTTTCTAATTGTGTGTTTCTTTTGAAAATAATGTTTGACACCACAGTTTCCTCATGGTATTCTTCATCTCTGCATTTCTCAGGGTGTAGATTAAAGGATTGAACATAGGAGCAATGATAGTGTAAAATAGTGCAAAAATTTTGTCCTCAGGGAAAGTAGTTGGAGGTCTAAGGTAGATGAAGATCACAGGAGCAAAGAATAAGATGACTACAGTGATATGAGACCAACAGGTGGAGAGGGCTTTGCGTCTTCCCTCAGCGGACTGATTTCTTAGAGTGTATAATATAATACCATAAGAAAAACATAAGACAACAAAGGTAACTAAGGCAACCATACCTGAAAAGGCAATCACAAGGACACCAGTGATGTAGGTATCAGTACAGGCATTTTTTAACAAAGGAAAAACATCACAAAAATAGTGATCAACTACATTAGGACCACAAAATGGCAAAGTCATGGCTGTCATGAATAGAGGAATGGCATGGATTGCCCCACCGATGCATGCAGCTAAGACCAGGAGATTGCATCTTGTCCTGCTCATGATAACCATGTAATGAAGAGGTTTACAGATGGCAACATAGCGATCATAAGCCATGGCAGTAAGAATGAAGATCTCAGCACATCCAAAGAAGTGCATGGTCAACACCTGAAACATGCAGCTTCCATAAGAGATGGTCTTCTTTTCCACCAGCTGGTCAGCAATTAATTTGGGTGTAACAGTGGACGTATAACAGATATCTATTGTGGATAAATGGGCGAGGAAATAGTACATTGGTTGGTCAGAGAGAGGACTGCAGGTAACAGACACGAGGATCAGAAGATTTCCTGACAACAGGGAAATGTAGCAGAATAAGAAGAACACAAAACAAAATATTTGAATGTTTTTGTCATAAGAAAGTCCTACAAGAATGAATTCAGAGATGTTTCTCTGGCTTTCCATTTGGGTTTTGTGTATGTTATACACAAATGATTTACATATCTGAAACAAATAAAATAGGAATTTGGTGAATAAAAATGATAGTATAAACATAGTCTTAGAAAACTGTTTCCTTAAAAGTAGATTGGCATGAATTGTGACTTAATATTAAAAAAGTTTGATATATTGAATTAAGATTTTTATATTATGTTTATCTCATAAATCTATTGTTAAAAATTATCTAATGTAATATTGAAAAATATATATTTTATTCATATTAATAACAATTTAATGTATTTAAATATCATTTTGATAAAGCAGTTTGTTACTGAAAAATTACACTATTTATTCTAGTTAACCTGAATGTTATTCATGTTATTTCAATTCATATGCCCTATAAAGTCAATTTTCCATTTTTAAAACTACCAGACCAAATTACCTGAATTATCTGATAGAAGATTTTTAAACAGCTCATTTGAACTGCTGAACTTTAATTTGTAGAAAGCATAGCATTCTTTGCATTGTGATCAAATATTGTCAATGGGGCAGGTTAACCCAATGTAAGTGCTGTTATTTTAAAATGAATTATTAAAAACTCTCAAGCAAAAGAATACCCATAAAAGACTAAAATTTTGGAAAATTATCAGCATAATATATTACCATTTCGTATTTATATTTCGTGTACTAAACATTTTATAAAATACACTGTTGGCAATGCTGTTATGTCTATTTGTGAAGGAAAAATAAAATCATAAAATCCCAGGTGCAAGAGCCATCACTTTTGTGAGAAATTTCAGATTTACTACGATCTAAAGATTGAATGTCACCAAAAAGAGATCATGTGGAAGAGAGGAAACTTGAAGAGAAAGTTTAATTTAGTTAGGACAGGTGATATTAGTTGCAGTAATAACTGAATGAAAAATTTATGAATTTGTATCTTTGGTATCTAATGCAAAGCTAACACAATATAAAATATAGAGAGAATTCACTTCCAGAAGATATTTCACCTACTGATGCCAATAGGTTTCCAAAAACTAGCATACCTCTTATCTCAGTCTGGATCTGAAGACATTGTTGAGTCTGGATTCCAGTTGGTCTACTAAAAAAATACAAAATGTTTTCATTACAGAATTAATCAATCAATTCTACTGATTCACAAATTCATTACATTTGTTATTTATAGTCTTGTAGACAGTTAGATGGAAATGGCTGTCAGCTATAGCATTTTTCAAAACAATCCAAACTGTGAGAGACATGAGTTCCATCCCTGGCCAGGGAGCTGGCCCACATGGCACAGGAGACCTCTCCAGTCTCGCCTGCTGCTCCCCTCAGCAGTGTGTGTCAGTGAATCTGCCCATTCTGCTCCCTATTCTGTCTCATGTGAAACCTGTCAGACCACCCCACACACACACCCCTCTGGCCTGCACCCCAGTTTTTGTGTGTATAAATAAATATTTTTTTAAAGAACATTTTCACTATTATAGATTGTGTAACATAAGTGGGAATATTTTCATAGTAATTTGAAGGAATGCATATGACCAAAAATTTGGGAAATAGTTCACTATAAACATAAAATGTTATATTTAACTATTTTTGCTCTGAATTGGAGTTTTGCATGGAAATAATGCAAAATGAAAACTAAAGGATGCTAGAACATTTTTATAATTATCTCATTATCATATGTTAGCAGAAAAATGCCAAACTTTAAAATGAATGTCTACGTAATCGATTAAATGAGCATATAAATAATCTAACACATGCCTGGGGGACTCTTCCCATATTAAGGTGACATAGAATATTCACTGACTATCAATCTGAGTGACTGTGATATCAGTTCCAGGTTCCATTAGGATGCACTTCACCCTCAGATTCTCACTCTTAACAAGTTGCTCCTACCAAAATCTGGAATAAAATGCTATTTACAAAGCAGTAATTCACTCATATCCAATTTAATTCTTTTAAAATAATTTTGAAATCTGAACATAATCTGAATCTTTCGTATCTTACAAAAGAATGGAATTTCAATACTCATAAAAGGTGCCATACTTACAGAGAGACGTGCATCTTCATCCCTTAGGATAGCCGACAAGGAATAGTCAGTCCATATTTAATACAACTCTAATCAGAAAACAATCTAGACAAAAAGTATTTTTAAAGTCTTTCAAAGTTATGCAAGTATTTAGGCCCAAGTAATCATCTACTTTATCTCTCTGTCTGATAAAATGTGGCTCAGAAGAACAGCATATAAACTAAAGCACAACACAAACATTAATAGTCTTGGAAATCTCAAAGCATTTATATTCTCAACGGCATTCTTGAATGCATCCTGGGCAAATACTGTTAAACCGCTGACCGTGGCAATGTCCCTGGTTCCCCTGGATGATTACCTTCACCACTTGTACTAGTTTGTCTCACCCACTTTTCCCAGGAGTCCAATAAGTCTAGTCAGAAGGTGGAGTTCAAGAAACTTGGACCACTGTGCTCTTTCAACTTGCTGAAAAGTAGCGGAGCCAGGTAGCCTATAATCAGATTAGCTTTCAGAAATCTGAGATTAGGTAAATCAAAGAGAACAAACCATGGACACTTACAGTCCCAAGTATGTACTACTATGAAGATTCTGAGTGTGGAGATACATAATTTAATAAAAGCAATGACCTTCAATATAATTTGTACATGGATGCTAACAGTTAGTGATTAAAATTTTTGGAAACTGTGGTTGGGAGATGGGAGGACAAGAGAAGGGAAGACAAAAGAATATATTGTCCCCTCTCCATATATTTGGCAGGGAAGAAAAGTGAAAAATAAAATGTGTAAAATCAGTGGAAGAAAACACTCCAATAACAGCAAGGCTTTTATGTGGTTAACCCTTCAATTCTTTCTCTTATCACTGACTATAAACGTTTTGTTAGGACTGAACCTCACCTGCAGCACTAAAATTATTTTAGTCTTTCTGTATGTAGCATATGCAATCCAGACAGTTTTTTTGGATTTGGAACTCAGGAAATCACTTATAGTATCTACTCTGTTTCAGATGAAACTAAAGAGCAAAAAAAAAATAATAATAACAATGATGATGATGATGATGATGTATTGAGAGATTATTGTGTGATTTAACTTCATCACATTATTTAATATACATAAAAATGCATACACTGATTATTTATTTTATTTTATTTTTATTTATTTATATAAGCACTGGGTACAGTCAGAAGAGCGGGAGGGTGAGAGAATTCACCAGAGCCAGAGCGGGGAACAGAACAGGCAGACTGACTGCTGAGGGGAGTAGCAGGCAGCAGGAAAGGTCTGCGCACCATGTAGGACCCTCGCCAGTGGCCGCGGATCGAACCAGCGCTGCAGAGGCTGCGGGCAGCTTTGCAGCCCAGTGCTCAACCGCTGTGCCACCAGGGGAGGCCCCATACATTGATTATTAGTAGCTTTATTGTGCAGACAAAAACACAAAAGTCTTAAGAGATTAAATACCTAACTTAAGTAGCTAAGAAGCAAAGGAAAAGAAAATGGGTATTTCTTCTTTTTTTGATACTTTTACAAATTTTTATAAGTAATTGATTTTTTAAATTGAGATAACATTAGGATCTTCCCATCAGGTATCACCACTTAATACACCGACCTCAAAATCGCCCATAGTCCCCTATCTTTGGCCATTATGCTTTCTTCAAAATGGATATTTTTAAGCTTAATGCCCCCCTCTAGATTGAGAGTTTAGTAACACTGAGTAAAAATGAAGTTTCTAGCATTTCAGCATTGAGATCAAAAGCCCTTGTTTAATGGACGTTCACTTCCACATTATGGCCCAGGTTGCTATACTTGGCTCAGTTAGCTTGTGTCAGGTCACAGAAGGAGCTAACTGCTAATGCCTTTCTGCTTCCTGCCTGTCACACTCTAGACACCCTTAGGGACATATAAATTAAGATAAATCATAATTGATCTTTCTTATATTACTTAATCTGCTGAAAAACTTTAACATTGATAAAGTACAGCTTATTTTTAAATATTTGATTTATTTATGTTTGCTTAGAAGAACTGGGGCCAGAGATGTGGGAGATGAGAGGATTCACCAGAGACAGAGTGGGGAGCAGAACAGGTAGATTTACTGAAAAATACTGCTAAGGGGAGCAGAGGGCATAACAGCAGTAGTCTGCTGTACCAGGTGGGTCGGCTCTTGCCAGGGATGAAATCAGGGTGTCCAGGTGGGCCATGGAGGTGGTAGCGCTGAGTTTTGTTTTTTAAGATTTATTTATTTTTATACTAGAACCAGGGTACAAGCCAAATGTGTGAGAGGGTCAGAAGATTCACCAGAGACAGAGCAGGGAACAAAACAGGCAGATCTACTGAAGTACACTGCTGAGGGGAGCAGCAGGTGTAACAGGAGAGGTTTGCTTCACCATGTGGGATTCTTGCCTGCCGGCCAGAATCAAACCCACATTGCAAAGGCTGCAGACAGCTACACAATGCAGCGCTCAACCGCCTGTGCCAGCCCGGAGGCCCGGTAGCACTGAGCTTTAACCTAGGGCACCAGGTTGACCTTATTTTATTTTTAACCGCACTGTTTGTATCATATTTAAAACATTTTTACAAATCTAAGACCACAATGTCATATATATTTCAAATAATTGTTTCATAGTTTGCATTTACATATATACCTTTTAGCCCATTAAAAGCAAATATTTGTTTTCCATATCATAAGCAATATAAATTTCCAAGGAGCAAAATGCTTATTTCGACATATTGTCTTTCAGTCTTTACATTGACAAGTATTTTGTAATGGTTTTTCAACACATACATTTAAAGATTTATTTGTTTATGCATACAAGAACTGGGGTACAGGCCAGAGGTGGGGAGGTGAGAGGATTCACCAGAGACAGAATGGGGAACAGAACAAGCAGATTGACTGAAATACATTGCTGAGGGGAGCAGCGGGGAGTCAGGAGAGGTCTGCTGCGCCACATGGTTAGCTCCCTGGCTGGGGATCGAACTCATGCTGCAGTGGCAGTGGATAGCTTCATAGGTTGAGTCTTAACCACTTGCGCCACCAGGGAGGCCTAACACATATTTAAATTTCATGATGATTTTCTCCCTATATTATTAATTACTACAGTTCAATTCCTCTTTGCTATAATATTTCTACATAGTTATATTTCCCTCATTATGATTGCTTCTCTTTAACATTCTTTTGCCATGTCTCCAAAATGATCGTAACTGTTCCATTGCATGTACATATTCCAAATATCTTCCAGCAATTATTTATAATACTTTCATAAAATCACTTTATCCAGTCCCTTCTCTGTCATATTTTTTGCTATTTAATTTAAGGGGAACAAAAATCTTTTCCTAACATTTCCATCTGGTTTCCTCAGAAGAATTTCTCTGATGTCTCTGCTTCATTATAGTCACAAAAGAGTATGCTGTGCCACAAAATATTTATTTTCAGAGTAGATACATGTTCATAGAAAAAGAAAGTGAAAAGAACAGAGATTTCCATATACCCACTCTGCCCCTCCAGAGTGGGACATTTATTAAAATACACTGTATTCACACTGATGTACCACTATTAGGAAAGTTCATAGATTACAAGAGGGTTTACTTTAAGTGTTATACAATCTATGGGTTTTATCATACATAGTAACAGAATCCAACCTGTAGTAATACGCAGAGAATCACTGTCCTAAAAATACTCTCTGTTCTTCCAATTCATCCCTGCCATCTCTCCACCCAACCCTGGCATTACTGATCAATTACTCTCTCTTGCATTTTCCAGAAATCATGTAATTTATATCATAGAATAGATAGCCTCTGCAGAATAACAGCTTTTATTTTTTAATATGCATTTCAGTTCCAACATGTGTTTTCATGAGTCCTTAGAACATGTTTTGCTAGATTTTGAATGTAGATGTGTGTTAGATCTCGATCTAGTCACCATCAATTTACTTTAAAATTTTAATCAGAAGGTATGGTAAACATATTTTATTAAACAGATCCTTAAACTTAAAAGAGATTTTATTAAATCTCTTTAACAGATTTGTGTTGAAATAAGTTTGATTCAGCATACTGCATATTGATTCTCTTATCACTAGCTGATATTATTTATTTCGAAGTAATGTCAGGAACATTGACCTGCATTTAAATAGATTCTACCTAATAATTCTTTGCAACACAGCTGATTTCTGAAAACACTAGAGATGAATATATGACAATTTTCTATCAGATTTTAAATTTATTATTTTAATTTCAATTTCAACTCCCCCATTAGCACCAAATGTGAAAGCTATGTATTATCACACTAATCCAAAAGGTTTAATTTAGTTTATCATAATATATATTCTATTCAACTCACAGATCTAGATAGCATTAGCTTATTTTCTTCAGTAAATGTTTTTTGCTGAGGGCCTCCCCTGGTGAAGCAGGCGGTTGAGCGCAACGCTGTGAAGCTGTCTGCAGCTTCTGCAGTGCCAGTTCAATCCCAGATGCCAGCGAGGGTCCCACATGGTGAGGCAGACCTCTCCTGTCACACCCACTGCTCCCCTCAGCAGTGTATTTCAGTCAGTCAGCCTGTTCTGTTCCTCACTCTGTCCTGGTGAATCCTCTCATCCTCCCAAGCATCTGGCCTGTACTCTGGATCTTGTATAAATAAATCTTAAAAAAAAATAAAAAATAAAAAACAAATGTTTTTTGTTGATACAACCCTACATATATCATCCTACTCTTCAACAAATACAACTACAATTAATTTTGGTATGGAAGCTTTAGAATTTGATTATTTCTTTTTTAGAATATTTATTTATTTATACAAGAACCAGGGTACAGGCCAGATGAGCGGGAGGGTGAGAGGATTCACCAGAGACAGAGTGGGGAACAGAACAGGCAGACGGACCAAAGGCACTGCTAAGGGGAGCAGCGTGTGCAACAGGAGAGGTCTGCTGCACCATGTGGTTTCTCCCTGGCCAGCAGGGAATCGATTTTCACACTGCAGAGGTTGCACACAGCTTCATAGAGCAGTGCACCACCCGCTGCGCAACCGGCAAGGCCCTGATTATTTCTTATTTGTTATTGTAGTCATTTATTTTATTCATGATACATATTAAAATAGGAAGTTTAAGAAAGTTTTCCTAGTTTTATCATTCACACCCACTCTTTTTCCTTCACTAAGTTGTTTATCCAATAAATTTCTTCCTCATTTAGTTATGTGCTTCTTTTGAATAGTAATATTTGACACCACAGTTTCCTCATGGTGTTTTTCATCTCTGCATTTCTCAGGGTATAAATTAAGGGATTGAACATAGGGGCAACAATGGTGTAAAATAGTGCAAATATTTTGTCCTCAGGAAATGTAGTGGGAGGTCTAAGGTAGATAAAGATTGCAGGTGCAAAGAAGAAGGCAACCACAGTGATATGAGACCAACAGGTGGAGAGGGCTTTGCGTCTTCCCTCAGCAGACTGCTTTCTTAATGTGAATAATATAACACCATAGGAAAGAAATAAGACAACAAAGATAACTAAGGAAAGAATACCTGAGAAGGTGATGACAAGGATACCAGTGAGGTAGGTGTCAGTACAGGCAACTTTTAACAAAGGAAAAACATCACAAAAATAATGATCAATTTCATTAGGACCACAGAAGGGCAAAATGACTGCCATGATAAAGAGAGGAAAGGAATGGACAGCTCCACCCACCCAAGCACCTAAGACCAGGAGATCACATCTTGTCCTGTTCATGATAATCATATAGTGGAGAGGTTTACAGATGGCAACATAACGATCATAAGCCATGGCGGTGAGAATGAAGATTTCAATGCCCCCAAAGAAATGCATTGTAAAGACCTGCAACATGCAGCTACCATAGGAGATGGTCTTTCTTTCCACCAGCAGGTCACCAATTAACTTAGGAGTAACAGTGGAGGTGTAGCAGATGTCCATGGTGGCCAAGTGGATGAGGAAATAGTACATTGGTTGGTCAAAAAGAGGACTGCATCTAACAGAGGCAAGGATCAGAAGATTACCTGCCAACAAGGTAACATAGCAGAATAAGAAGAACACAAAACAAAATATTTGTATGTTCTTGTTATAAGAAAGTCCTAGAAGAATGAATTCTGAGATATTTCTCCGGCTTTCCATTTTGATTTTTGTATGTTATGTACAAATGAGTTACATACCTAAAATAAATAAAACAGAAATTTGCTGAAAAATGAAAATATGAACACAATAATATAAATTTATGAAATGCAGAAAAACATGAATTTTGTCTTAATAATAGTAAAGCTTGATTCATTGGTCAAGATGCTTTTACATTATGTTTTTCTCATAAGTCTACTTCTGAAAACTTTTATAATGATATAATGAGATGATATGTATCTTTTTACTCAATAATACTAATATTTAAAAATATTTAAGTATCATTTCATAGCAAAAGTGTTTATTACTATACATTATATCATTTAGTCTAAATAACTTTAAAAAGTTTGCATATTATTCCTCCTTTACAATTATTAGCACAATTCCCTAATAAATGTTTTAAATCCTGATTGAACTGCTGAACTTTAATATGGATAGAGCATAGTATTCTTTGCATTGTGATCAAATATTGTCAAGGAGTCATAATAAGTTGTAATAATTGCTGTTATATTAGAAAGAATGATTGAAAACTATCAACACAAAGAAAAATTTCAAGAAAAGAAAAAAAATAGGAAATGATCAGCAAATATATTCATATCATTATTACATATTTTATGTCCTAAATACATTTTGTATAAAATATACTCTTGTCAATGTTAGTGTGTCTGTGGTGAAGGAAACATAAAATTTTTAAATCCCAGGTTTATATTAATGGTGTAAATGTCATGAATTTTGCCAGGTATTTCAGGTTTTACAACAATCCAAAGAATGCATGTCAATAAAGGTAACTTGTGGACAAACTCTGAGGTCAGTTCATTCAGGGGATATTTGTTGCAGTTATAAGTGAATGTAAAATTCATGGATTTCTACCTATGTATATAAAGCATATTTTAAGACAGTACAAAATGATGACAGAACACTGCCAAGGAATTATCTGTACAATGTGTTTGCAAAAAGTAACATACCTCCCCTTAGACTGGATATAAAGCAACAGTCAATTTCTGACCACCATGCTTGCTAAAAAAAACCCAATGCTTTATAACAGGTTATTTAAAAATCATCTAGTTATTGATTCATGAATTCATTCTCTGTGTTATTTATAGTCTGGCTATTTAGGTAGAAGTAGCTGACAAATATGGCATTTAAAACAATGGTAAATATTGGAGGACATGCAAAATCTTTAACTTGTTCTTATTTTGTATCACATTCAGCTTTCTATATCCTTATGTAACAATTGGCAGTAACAGAACATTCAGCAGTTAAAAGTATCTCCAAAAATATGAAAAGATTTAGAAGGTGGGAAGCATTCATTTCATTTATATGTTCTTTGTCTATATTGTGGAAATGTTAACTTTAGACTTATTTATTTAGATAAAAAAGATTGATTTGCTGATAATTATATATGTGGATGTGTACTACTTATGTGGTAGCAATCCATTAAATCTCTCACTTTAATATGAGAGATTCAGATAAAAGAATCAGCAATTTCTGAGGGTTAAAAAGTATACATTGTGATAGTGAGAAGACAAATATCTTTATTCTTCCTCAATTTGGGGCTACAACTCATGTGTGAAAGCTGGCAGGAGAGCAGAAGGGTGTCTGTAGGACAGAAATTATGATTATTTGAAACTTCATCTGAGTAGAAAAGATCTTGTAATATATGGGGAACCACACAATTGGTCTTTTGGGGTATTTATGTGTGGGAAGAACTATGGAGTGCCTAATATAAATAGTATTTTTATTTTTCTGATTCTAAAACACTTCCAATAATTTTCCATTAGTTACACAAAGCACTACACAATGAAGATATCTGTAAGTGATGCAGACATTTAATGAGGAATGCATGAAATAATGGGAAATACCCGGGAACATATGTGGCTCAAAACAGTTGTTTTCCACCATGGTCTTTCCTCCTTGAGAGCATTTAAAACAGCTACAGAAATTGTCATACACATAAGACAATCAGGTTTAATGGAAAAATAAAGAAGAACTATTTATACCTTGTATTTAATCACTGATTAGACAAATTTCAATTTCAGTGTTCTGACTGTGTAAACCTGTTAGTTGGTTGATAGATTATTTACCTTAAGGCATTTCTTAAAGCACTTATCAAAGCTTGATATTTTTTGTACAACAGAACTATACTTTCCTTGGTAGTATTGAATAAAAATTATACATGTATTTGGGTTACACTATCTGTATATAAATAGAAGCTCTTATATTTGAATCAAAGTTGCCCCCACATATTGCAAGATTTTCTTAGTGTACCATGGAGAATGCACCATGCTATAAACTTACCTTCATTGATTCAGATGTAACTCATCTACTCTAGGATGGCAGATGTTTTGAACTACAGCAACATCTTCATTCTTATAGATGTTTAAGTGTAAAGTGGACTATTTTTTAATGGCAATACTTAGAAGTACCTATAACAAGGTTGGGACATAACTTACTACTAGCATGAAAATATTCTGTTCATACTATTGTTCTTACTGGAGTTTTACTAGGGAATAATGAACAATTAAAACTAAAGAATGCTAAAACATTTTTGTACATATCAAATTATTATGTGCTGACAGAAAATTTGCTAACTGTGAAGAGATATATAGACTAATAAAAGATGATGTAATAAGTCTATAACATGCCTGGGGGACACTCCCCATATTAAGGCAACATGGCTAATTCACTGACCATCAATCTGAGTGATGGTCAGGTCAGTTCCGGTTTCCATTATGATGCACTTATACCTCAGACACTTACTATTAACTATTTGTTCCCTTACCAAAATATGGATTAAAGTGCACTTTAAAAAACAACAATTCACCCACATCCAAATTAATTCTCTGAAAATAACTTGGAAATCTCAACATATCCTAAAATTTTCATAATTTATAAAGAAGGTGATCTCAAACATTAACAAAAAGTATCATACATACAAAGTGAAGTGCATCTTCATCCCTTAGGATAGGAGAGCAGGAATTTTCACTCCATATATAGCACAACTCTTGTTCAGAATAAAATTTAAACAAAAGTATTTTCAAATTCTTTCAAGACTACACAACTTAAGCTTAAGTTCAAGTGATCATCTATTTTATGTCTCTGATAAAATGTGATTCAGAAGAGCAGAATATAAACTAGAGTGCAAAAATAAACAATTAATAGTCTTGGAAATCTCAAAGTATTTATATCTTCAATGTACTCAACTCTTGAATGCATTCTGGGCAAATATTGTTCAACTGCTCTCCACGGTAAAGTCCCTGGCTCCCCTGGATGATTACCTTCCACACTTGTCTAACCTGTCCCACACACCAGTCTCAGGAGCCCAATAAGTCTAGTCAGAAGGAGAAGTTCAAGAAACTTGGATGACTGTGCTCTTCCAACTCATTGATGAAGGAGGAGAACCATGTAGTATACAATCATATTAGATCATCTTTCAGAAATTTGAGATGAGGTAGCTCAAGAGAACCTAAATGGATCCTTTCATCCAAGTGTGGAGTACTATCAAGATACTCTGCATGTAAAATATTTAATTCAATAAAGTCTATGGCCTACATTTTAAATTTATGTGTTTACTCATAGCTAGGGATTAGCATTATTGAAATTTATGCTTGGGGAATGGGAGGTAAAGAGAACACAAAGGAATAAAGAGTTGTCCCTCTATAAATATATGCAATCCAGACAAAGTTTTTCTTTTGCCTTTGGAACACCAGGAAATCAAATTTATAGTATCTAATCTAGTTCAGCTCAAACTGTAGAACAAAATAATCACCATTATCATCATAATGTATTGAGAGAGTATTGGGTTATTTAAGTTCATCACATTATTTACTGTAAGTAACAATGTTTATATAGATATATTAGTAGCTCTATTGTACAAACAAAAACACAGGAGGCTTAAGAGGTTAAATACCTAGCTTCAATATCCAGTAAGCAACAGATATAACAAAACAGGTATATCTTCTCTGTTTTGTATACTTTTTGAATTTTTAAATAATTGATTTTTTTTAAATTGAGATAAAATTAAGATCTCTCTATCTGATATCACCAGTTACTGCACCCACCTCAAAATCACCCATAAATCCCCTACTAAAGTTCATTGTGCTTTCTTCAAAAATGGGTCCTTTTAAGTTTAATGTTTCCTTCTAGATTGAAAGTTTCATAATATATAGTAAAAATAAAGTTTCTAGTATTTCCCCATTGAGGAGATCAAAGCCTGTGTTTACTGGATGCTCACTTTCACATCAAAGCCTGGGTTGCTAAAGTTGGCTCAGTTAGCCTGTGGCAGGTCACAGAAAGAGTTACTGCTCATGTCTTTACTGCTTCCTGCACAAATACTGTCTAGATCCCTTAGGGACTTATAGATCAAGATAAATCATTATTGATCTTTGTTATATTGCTTATTCTGCTGTAAAAAGTTTAACATTGATAAAGTACAACTTATATTATTTTTGAACCACTACTTGTACTGTATTTAAAATCTCTTTTACAAATCTAAGACCACAAAAGTCATATAAATTGCATTAAATGCTTTATACTTTTGCATTTACATATATATCTAAGATTTTTAAATTAAATCTGTATAAGGAATAATATATAAATAAAACATAATATTATTGTTTTATGTTTATGTGATTTAAACATGAATGCTCAATACCATTGCTGAGAAAACAATCCTCTTTTATTTCAGGTAAACCTAAAATCACTCTAAAGTAAATAAAGTATTTAAAAGAGAAAGTCATTGTAGGGAATGAGAGATAGCTGGGTTTAATTTCTCCCTGATAGTCGCATTGAGATTCACTCAAATTTGGGAGTTTCACAATTACTTCTTTGTTACTAATGCACAACTAATGCTGATCTAGATATGAAATCAGCATCCAAATAAAGCAAGCAGGTCTTATGTCGAATTCTTGCCAACCCCTTTTCATTTTCTTCAACAAAATTACTTGAGTCTGTATACTATGAGCCCATTGAAAAGTTAAGAATTATTTTCCTATGCAATAACC